AATAGGGCCTTCATTCACGGGGCAAACTCCAGCTCGCCTTAGCAACGCCCTTAACAACTTGTCTGGCCAATTTTACAGCACAAAGCTAACACCTTATTACACTGTATGGAAAATACAAGTTTGAAATAAGTACGTACATACCATACAGTCAGGCAAAAGCAAGTTATGTCTTCTTTATCATAATTCTATTACGAGTGTAAATATCGTGGAATCAAACTGTTGCTTCAGCTAAATCACACTTGAGAGACAGTTTTATGAAGCAGCAGTTTTGAGTAAATGGATAATGACTTTGCGGTGGAGCGTTCGTATCCTCTACTGTCCACTATATTAAATCTCCATACGATACAGCCCTCCTCGCTACGTTTATTTGACTTGGCTGGGAGTCGCCTGTATGAAGCCATCTCCACCTATCGGCAATATCTTTAGAAATGTCTTATGCAAACATGTCAGCGTGATCCCGGAGTCATTGCCTTGTGAGGAGGGAGCGAGCGCTAACCTCACGTCTGTCGTCGGCTGAACATTCAAAGGCAGTCTCTTTTATAATGGCGAGGTTAAAAGGCTCATTAAGACACCTATCTCCTCTCTCCTCGTGTTTTCAGTGGGCATTCCTCTTCACATCAGTGCCGTCCACAGGTGCAGATAAAAGATGTTTTTTGCCAGAGCGGCGTGAGCTCAAATAAACAATGTTCCAAAAGAGTGCTTCTCGTACTTTTCTCACAAAGTACCAAAGTACCACCTCAGAAGAGACTTGGCTTTCCAAATCTAAACATTTTGCCTTTGTGTATCGCATCCTTATTGAACTAAGTATAAAACATAACTTCTCTAGCTCAAAACCAGAGCTAAGCCAGGTTACGTTTTATAGTTTAAAAGACTATTGGTGATATCTTGTCCGATTACCGATGTAACAGAAGGATAGCTAACCACTTCAAACCTCCAGGCATGACCAAACTAAGGCCCAAGGACCAATGGCAACCATCTGTGTCATGTTATACGGCCCTCTTCTTTGCTAACCCTAAGTAGCCATTGAGATCATAAACACAAGTCAACAGTGTCTTCTAGCCAACTTCAGCTCCACCTCATGTTAAAGCTCAGAACCTCTTGAATTCATTTATTTGTATGTACTAACATTTGTCAACGTTCTCTCTATGGCGCCGGTGTAGCTGGTTAGAAAGTAAACATTCAAAGTAAACAATTGCCATTCAGCCAACTTCACCTCTCACAAATGTGTATCAATGTTGTGTCAGACCTCATTTTACATCTCAATATAGGCAGATTGCAGTCAAAAGTAAGTAAGTAATCTTTATTTATATACCGCCTTTCACAGACCAGAGTCACAAAGCGGGCATTATTTTTACGCAAACACGGGGAGAACATGCAAACTCCACTCAGAAAGGCCCTGTTCCGACTAGGATTCGAACCCAGGACCTTTTTGCTGAGAAGCAAGAGTGCTATCCACTCAGCCACCGCCCAAAACAGTTAATAATCCGTGTTGTCGGTCCCTGGACAAGTTTGATGAATCAAACTGGCCCTCTTACTAAAGTTTGGACATGCTCTTGTTTTTTTTTTTAAATAAAGCGGCAAGATATTAAAACCAGCCTTTATTTATAATCAAGGCAAATAAAGCGGACACTCCCTTAAAAGTAGTTTTTCCTACATCTATCTTATGTGCATTCTCTATTTTTGTTTGTGATAAACTGATGAGTCTGCAAAAGTTGGCAGGCATTTTGGCTCAAGTGATCTACTCATTTGTCAGTGTACATAGACCAAAAGTGGCGTTAGATGCATTTGAAAGCCAGATCCCGTCAGACCTGAAGCTAAGCAAGACAGGGCCTGGTTAGTACTGTGATGGGAGAACAGGTACGACAGTGAAGTGCCCAAACTGTTTTACTGTCTTTGGGCAAAACACTTCACCCAAATGGCCTAGAATTAGTCTAGTTTGTGCGTGTTAGCCCCAGACTCATCACCGAAAATTACTGTCATGAGAAGGGTTTTTGAGTATTTCAAAAAACTATCCACTGTCCTCACACTGTTATAAACAACAATAACTTCTGTGATAATGTCCAGCAATAACAGTGACCTACATACACACCCCAAAATGCCCCCCTTCCCTACTTCCTTTTAATCCTTGTCTATATGAGTTTCATGTAAATATGGATTTGAATTCTTTCTGTACAATGCAATAGAGAGTCTTCCAGTAAAAGATTACGAAAAAAGTTCCACATAAAACCAATGCATCATTATTATTATTACTATTATTATAAAAATCCACTCCAAGTCTGTCCATAGATTAAAACTAAATAGCAAAACTGTTTGTCTTCCGTCGTTTTATATCAAAAGTAAATCTCATTCCCTTCAGATAGACTATTAAAAATAATAGCAGGTTCTCGTCAGCCTCTCAGTGACACACCGCTTTATTCTAATTCTAATGGTGAGTTTGGTGAGGCACTTTGTAGCTCGTGTGGTCGACCGCAGACTGCACCGTGATGTCAGAGGGCCGTCATTCTTCACTTTCATATATTTTTTATGTTTTCATAAGCGGCTCAAGTCTATATCGGTGTGAGCACTTGTGTTGCACTTCAGGACATTCCACTTACCGCAGCCAAAATGGATTAGTATCTGAACAAATAGGAAAATCGCCTCTGAAGCCGTTTTGATATAAGGACACGTTTTATGCAGAGTTTGAGTTGTAGCTCTTTCTGTGCTTTGGTCTTGCGGCAGGATTGGCAATATTTATGTCCAATATTGGGAGGTAATTTTTGATAATAGGTTTAAGAGGTCTAATTCTATTCAGAGTAAAAATGCCGCCTACAACAGAGTTCCATTTATAAAAGCGTATGTATGAAGCCATTGAGTGCTCTTATTTCCTCCCTTTATTCTGCTGTTGTGTGCGAAACGATGGCATTGAAAATTCTCCACTCCGGGACAAATAAAGGATTATCTTATCTGATTACAACTGACAATGCAATGAATGAATATGTAATGTACACTGAACTCTAAATAAACAATCAAAGATGCACTAGAACATGGCAAATATACAAACGCTTGATTTTCTCACAAAATTCATGAGTAATATTTTACGGTGTATGTGAATGAGGAAAAAGATTATGTTTTGATTGTAAAGCGATCATAAAGCATCTGTTGACAACAATCTCAAGTATTTTTTTAAGAAACCTTTAAGTAAATTGTATTTATTTTTGTGTTGCTCTAAATTATAACAGCAGTCGCCTCGGAGGACGAATCACCAACACCAGATCATAGAATCAAACAGTTCCAACACAGGAAATGTAAAGAGAAGCCATTGGTCCAGAGGGAGCGGGACGACCACTGTTCATAAATGTTTATGTCCAAAAATGTCCGTAAATGTCTTCGGTCCTTACAATAACTCCAAAAAAACAGTGAGATGAAAGTGAGAAACCTCAGGCCCACAGTGGGAGAGGGATCCTGTCTGTGGGCTGTGGGGGGAGGTTGTTGGGTTTATTCCCATTAATTAATTAAATTGCAAACTGTGTGGATTTGTGTGACAATTTTAATGGCAGAATGTAATTCCTAACTTCTACCACCAGATGGAGATGTTTCACCACTTTCAATCTTGCCTTTATCCGTTGTACATGTTTATATATGTATATTATATGCTTTATTTCACATTCCAAACATGATACGTCCACCGAATTTCCCCAATATCAAGTTTAAAAGCCAAATTAATATATTATCTGTGCTTTAAAGGGTTTGCTTTTAGTCTCCCAGCCCATAATGATGCGGCGTAAATCCAATTCCTTCTCCACATCCACACTTTTCTCACGATGTACTTTCCAATATCCTGCTGCTTCAATCGCCAACTCACTGAGACGCCACTCTGTAGTGCACCTCTGCGGAAGTGTGTGTGGTTATCTATGCTTCTGAGAGCATCCATTTAGATTTAAAGAGGTTAGCCAAGCTTCTAAGTTCAGTAGTCGAAGTTTGAAGTGATTATAGGTTTAAAGTGGTTAGCCATGCTTCTAAGTTAAAACTGGTTTAAAGTGGTTCACCATGCTTCTATGTTAGTATAGGTTTGATTTAGTCAGTCATGCTACTAAGTTAATATAGGTTTGAAGTGGTAGCCATACTTCTAGGTAAATATAGATTTGATTTGGCTAGTCATGCTTCTAAGTTAATACAGGCTTGAAGTATTTAGCCATGCTTCTAAGTTTAGTAGTAGAGGTTTGAAGTGAATACAGGTTTAAAGGGGTTCGCCATGCTTCTAAGTTAGTATAGGTTTGAGGTAATGAGCCACGCTTTTAATGTTGATACAGGTTTGAAGTGATTAGCCATGCTTCTACATTCATTGATATAAGTTTAATTTGATTAGCTAATATGGTGCAGCCCTAGTAGCTGTCCTGAATTGCTTTACCAAAAAGCAAAACGTGAGACAGTATTGTGAACCAGGAAACGAAAAATATTGCGAAAGCAGTTTCTCATAAATAGTACTGTTGCTGTGTCCTTTGGCAAGACATTTCACCCTCATTGAGTATCAACACCGTTCTATACTAACTATACTAACTAGTGTCAACTATTGAGCCAAAATGCCATGTTATACTTACTAACCTACTTTCAAAATACGCGGTGGCTATTTTTAATCTCTGCACCGTTTTTATTACATTTGCAGTGTTCTATTTGGAGTCTGACGTACTTTCCAAACCCCCGGTGCTCCAAACGTTCATAAAGTCAAATAGAAGCCAGTCCATATTTCAACCATCCCTCCCTACCCTCCCCTACCCTCCCCTACCCTCCCCTCTCCTCCCTTCTTCCCCCACGTCTGCGGCCCACTGCCCCCTAGTGATGTCCCTGGGCACTTATTATACAGCTTATTTATGTGTCCCTCTTTCTGCACATCCGGGGAAGTCGTCAGCTCAAATATTTCCCCCTCTTTTGTGTTGAGATGATTTGGAAAGAGTATTTATTGAGTTTAAATGTTGTAATTTTACACTTGTGTGCTCTGTGCTCCCGCAGCTCTTGGGCAGATCATGCTGTACGTGGATGGAATGAATGGACTCATATGTCACAATGAGACCGTGCAGTGGCTCTACTCCCTGGTTGGATCAAAGGTACAGTACATTTGTTTTCATTATCAGTGTGTTATTATAATGGATTTGCAGTATATCGGAAGTTTCATTCATAGGTTGGAACAAGCTTATCTCATTGGTCACCTCAGCCCTCTAGTGGCCAAACATAGTATAGGATAGTGCTAAATAGTAAAAAACGATTTGTCATTTGCATGCACGCACACTCTCAGATACCGCTAGCATTTATAACTTGAAAAAAAATATGTGATGACAGCTTTGTGTCAGAGTATGTTAAGGTTTAAAAAAAAAAAAAGTTTATTGCATGTATGTAATTTTAGAACGACGGATGGAAAGGCTATAATCTGGAGTGTCCCAACCAAACAAAAAAGTACAGGAGTGATTCAAAAACAAACCCAAAGTCAAAAGCAGTTTTAGGTGAGGCAGTAATCAAGGACAGGAAGGAAATAAGGATCAATGAATATGATTTAAACATTAAACACAGAGCAGGACAAGACATAACAATACTTTATGTACAGTAGTTTTGTGACGGTCTCTTAGTCGGGACAACCTTGTTAAAGAGATCTATGAATTTCAATGCGGTTGTCCTGGTTAAATATATTTTAAAAAGAAAATGTAGCCCCAATTTTACTCTTACTGTCTTGTGCAATATTGTGACTAATGAACTACACATGGAGAAGCAGCATTTCAGATTCATGTATCTGAAATCTGGAATTGTCTTTCTGAAAATGTAAGACAGGCTTCTTCTTTGACAATGTTTAAATCCAGCTTAAACTTAGCTGTGCACACAACTGAGGGATTTTAGCTTTACTCTTGGTTTGTACTGTGAATATTTCTGATTTGAATGCCCTGTGTGAATTCAATGTATTTATATATAATCCTAAATCACAACAGCAGATCGTCTCGGAGGACTTTAAAAAGTTGTCATTCACCAACAACAGATCAGAGAATCAAACAGTTTGAACACAGGAAAATTCAATAAGAACATCATTAAAGATTTAATCCTTAATTAATATGTGCTTCTCTGGCATGTTATACGTTCATTCTGTTCTCATTGATGAATCCAAAATGTCCTCAGCAATAATATGGTCATAAAAATAGTAATAGTCTAAACAAAAAACGCCAGTAATATATATAAATGTTATTTTTACAGTAGCCCTCCCCTGAACTGAACAAAATTCTGTACTTTTTGTGTCAGTTCCGGCTGGTGGTGAAGACGGCTCTGAAGCTGCTCCTGGTGTTTGTGGAATACACCGAGTCCAACGCCACCCTGCTCATCCAGGCCGTGAACGCTGTGGACGCCAAGAGAGGTACAGTATGAGTATTAAATAAAACTAAAAATATGTCATGTGGCAGGTTTGAACCTGCCACAAACTAAAAATATGTCATGTGGCAGGTTTGAGCCTGTTTCCACCTGTCGGACTAATGAACACTGCCGACCTGAGCTCACATGTCATACTGTCCAATAATTTGATGTACAGCAATATCACATGATGGTAACATACGCAGTAGTATCACATGATCTTATGACTTATTATCCTATAATATTCTTGCACTACTAATACTGTGTATCACTGATTAATCTACAGATGTATACATACAAGTATATACTCATATTTTATACTTACTGTTTTATTAAGCCAAAGATAAAAATTTAGTTGAAATATATGTTTTAAAGTATAGAATGGTGCTATACTTAATATTCACTTATCTTGTGTTGTATTCTCACTGTGGGACGAATAAAGGATCTCTTAGTCTCTGAGTCTATTTTCAATCAGTTTTCAGCCTTGTTCAATTTAAAATACTAGCAAGAGATTACTGTCACACACTATAACACGCACACACACATATGACATCACTTGGTGTGTACAAGTTTGATGTTTGGTCAGGCGTGTATTTTGTACATGTGATGATGTCATTTGTAATTGTGTGGCCTAATAAGATGGATTCATGTGCATTAAAGCTGGGGTACCTAACTTTCAAATCACAAAAGACATTTTATTATGTAATAAAAGCCGTCAAACAAGTTTCTTGCTTAAAAATAGTTTCTACATGTGTTTTGGCCTCTGTCACATCTTTATATCTGCTTTTTCAGAGAGTAAAAATTGGAGAATGCAAAACATTATTGTGGTTGGATTTTTTCGCAGTGACTATGTGTTATTTATGAAACAAAACTTTAGGGACCCCAGCTTTAACACATAAATGAAATGTGTTTTTCAGTATTTAGTAGTTCGGGATAACAGCAATTTCTTATATTCTCTGCCAGCGTTTCATAGTTCGATTAGTATTTTCTTACCTTACAATGAAAGTCAATACAATCTTGATACTACAGAGATTTGGCCGTCTCCCTTTTCACCCGTCGGATTGAATGTCTGTAACCACTCTCCATGACTTTCTCCTCTTACTCATGTTCCTACCTGCGCCACTGGGCAGAGATGGGGGGGGGGTGTCTTCTGTTAAAGGGGGCTCTGGTATCTCTTCTACTGTTGCATTAGTAAAACATGATCCACTGTCTCCCGCAGTGAAGGAAATGTACTTAACCCCGACAGCTTCCAGGGGCGGCGCTAGATCACTGTGACAGAGCAGGCAGACACTGGCGCCCCCCACACAAGTGCCTGCATGGCTGCACGACTTTGGCAAAACTGTCTAATTGCTATTTTTGACCAACAAATAAAAATCATCTGATCAGATTTTCAGAGTATTTGTGAAGATGTAATGTATTGCTATACAATACAGCACAAAACTAAATATAGATGATAAAAAACACAATAAAACACTTTTTTAAAGATTAAACATGACAATAAACTAAGAAAATATACTACAGAATGAAGACAACACAACACATCTGATAAAAAAACAAAAAGATTGAAAAATAGTTAGTAAAAAGGAAAATATGTATTATTTATATGTATTTCATAGAGGGCTCCAAACTGAAATTTTAAGTATTAAAAAATCATTTAGATCAGACATTCATACATGTTATTATAATCACATAGAAAAAAGGTTTTTCAAATGACCATAAACAAACTAAAAGTTCAAATGAAGCAAGACAAAAACATTGGAAACTCAGGAAAAGACAGACAAATATAAAACAGGGAAAGATGTTCAGAGAAGTAAAGAGTAATAGAAATAAATAAAAATGACAGTGCCCCCAAACTGAAAACTACCCAGGGCTTCCACAGTGATAGTTCCGCCCCTGACAGCTTTACATGGAGATCAAGTGGCCTCAGCTTTTTCCACTGATGTTTTCCTCCAGTGAAAGTGACCGACAGTGACTGGGGATGAGTTGGCAAACTGGAGAGCCTGCTATAAACCTGATTTTATAATGCCAGTATCTTTTGTGTTGCCATAGGAACAAAGTTTTGGTCAAACATAGTGGAAATCTTGGATGAAAAAGACGGAGTGGACACAGAACTGCTCGTCTACGCCATGACACTCATCAATAAGGTCAGAATACTATTGTTTTGCTCTTGGAATAAGGCTTTAGGCAATATAAGGATACCAGCTGCTATTATCAATACTGTTTCAGTGAATTAATCACAGCTGCAGGAGTGTTTCTTAAATCATATTTTATATTCAGCATTTGGCTAAATGTGCATTTGATTTTAAACTAAACTGAGACATTTTAGTAGTGACTTCTAGTATATTAGCAAACCCAAAATCATATTTAATTTTTTTATTATTATCTATACTATCCTATTACTATTCTATCTATACTATTAAGTATAATAAGTATATATACTGTAATTTCTGTTTGTTTTTGTTTTTTTACTCAGGGCATTCTATATTTATTGATTGATTGATTGATTTTATTAATTCCAGCACAAAATATACATTGATAAGTATTTATAACATTTACATTCCTTTCTGTAAATCATTAAACATAAATATCTAATCAAGCTACAGTATTTGCCATAGTTTCACCATGTATTGCTCTATTTCCATACACTTTCTGGAACAGTTGAACTGTTGCGCATATACAACACGCAATGTATTAACCATAATTCAGTTCAGTTCAGTTCAGTTCAGATTGTTTATTTGAGCTCAGAGCAATACATACAGTTGATACAACAAAAAAAGACAATTCAATTTAATTCGTGTACAGCCCTAAATCACAATCAAATTCAAATACAAGAAATGCAATGATAAAAAACACATAGAGCTATTGGTCCAAAAGAGACAGATGACCAATGTCCATAAATACTGATCATCACAATGTTGTGATAGTGATATATAGACGTCGTAAGGAGATGGCAGAGGTAAAAAATACTGCACTTATAAACGCCGACCCCTTCATTGCATAATTCAATTAAATGTTCTAAGTCAGAGTAATACATACATACATTTCTGAATTAGTAACCGTATTGATATAAAACATTAAAGAGATAATTATAATCCTCATTCCCTGCTTGTATTGTGGTGTGGTCAGACGCTGGCGGGACTCCCGGACCAGGACCAGTACTATGACGTGGTGGACAGTCTGGAGGAGCAGGGTCTGGAGTCACTGTCACAGAGACACCTGAGCAGGAAGGGCACCGACCTGGACCTGGTGGAGCAGTTCAACATTTATGAGGTACACAATGTCCCCACACACACACGCACACACACAGCTGATATTGTTGCTATTGTTTATTCTGCTCACATTCTCAATATACACACATCTGTAAATACTTCTGAACCAAGTGCAATTATGGCTCTGGAGTTTATTTTATATTATTTCATTCTATTCCATTTTACCATCTTGCTATTTTAATTCTACTGTCTAATATCTTAGAAAATAGACTCTGTTTTATGTGTGCAATCTGAGTGCTCTTATTTCCTTCTTTTTCTGCTGTAATGTGCGCAACGATGACACTGAGGTTTCCCCCCTCTGTGGGACGAATACAGGAATATCTTATCTTATAAAAACTAAAACATAAATATATAAACAAAGCTTGATACAATTCTAAAATAGATATACACACAATAAGCCTTTAAAGGTATTGATAAATATTTTGTCTCATTGCTTCTGTGTTCCTTCCGTCAGACGGTCCTCAGACACGAAGACGGTGACGAAGAGACGCAGGTCCCTCCGAGCGGGCGGAAGGAGCGCAGGCGGGCCAGTGTGGGCTGCGGCAGCTCCGAGGGGCGGGGCCTGGAGCGCAGACGGAGCCGCAGACACTCTCTTCAGAGCAGCAGAGGACACGTCTCCGCCCCCTCCTCCCCCTCCACACACGGGACCAGCTTCATGTCCTTCGCTGGGCCCATCAGTGAGAGGTGAAGGCTACAGACCGACTACACTGAGTGATGATAACGCAGTTAGGAAAACATGGAGAGGTCCGTAGGGTAGTGGTGGAGTTCAAAGGAGAATATTTTGACTGACACATCCATAATCGAGTGTACTACTTAAGTGCAAAAAGTGATGGGAAATAAGTCAAATATTGCTCAAATCTGGCAAAACGTGTTTAATTTGAGCACATTTGGACTAGCCTGACTCTCACCAGACCAATGTAGTGTGGTTCAGCCAAACGCCTCTGGTGGAGCATGGCGGAACTACAGGGGTCTGGCGAGAGTCAGGCTACATTTTGACTGCCTTAAAACAAGATTTGTCAATGAAACAAGCAAAATTATCCTTTTTTGAAAAATCGACAAGAAATGTCTCCTTTGGAACGAGAGAGTAAAGCAACAGTTCTTGAAGTAATGGCATAGTCCCATTGGCAAATCTTGTTTTAAGTCAGTCAGAATGTACACAAATTAAAATGAATACCCACCCGGTTCAAGCAACTATTACCTCATATTTCATAATATTTGACAGTGTAGCAATAATGTTTTAAGGATTATAGCTGTTTTGTGACAATAATTTCTATAAAGTGTCCAGAACTACATACTGAAAGTCTTAAGCCAGTTTAATTTCCATCAATTCAAACATTCCCAAGAACTCACCCGAGGAGTAAGATTCTTTATATCTGTTCCGCCTTTTTATATTATGGTGTTTAAACAAGATCACTTTTTTTAACATAGACTTTCTGGTTTTGTGCGTTAGGTTCAACTTGAGGAAAATAGTTGTGAAAAGCTGGCCCCAATAACAATGTTGGAGCCACTAAAACTAAATCATTACATGTATAACCATTGTTTATGTCAACATTTAAACCTTTATACCTCTCAAGTATTGAGTGGTAATGGAGTGATTCAGTTTTGGAGTATTAGTACATGTGCAGGTTCATGTCTATACAGCACGATTCTCAGTCTGTTGTGTTTGTGCGTATTCTACCTGTATATATGTAGTAGCACGCAGCCTGTAAAGGGAATCTATCCCAGCTGGTCATCTGAAACCAGAGTAGGATTTCCGGTTCACTGCAAGAATTTACAGCCGACTTTGAAGGTCACTTGTGCCGCTATTGCTAATTGAATCAAGAAGTTAGAAAATCCGTCAGAACACAACTTTACACGCCTCTTACATATTCAGAATTTAAAACATACAATTTTAACGTATAATCTCTGGCCATTAAAGCTCTGCTATGTAACTTTTCTATACCAGTTACCTGTTTGTTTTTTACTCAGAGTTAGAACGTTTAAGTTTTGCAGCGTACATCTGTTCAACATCTGTATTTTGAATATGATACAATAATAATAATAATAATAATAATAATGAATGTTATTTCATTGCACCTTTCAATACACCCAAGGATACCTTGAAATATATTAAAAACATCACACCCAATAACGTACAGAATAGAATACATTTAAAAATTACAAAGAATAAGCTAGTTTTAAAAAGGTAGGTTTTGAGGTGGGATTTTAAAATGTCCAAGATAGATTTTTTTTGCCCTCTTCTTGAGGACAGAAACTGCCTCAGGAGTTCCATAGTCCAACGTGGCTCGATAGAACTCCTTCTTCAACCTGACACCATACTTTGGGGTCCAGAAGCTGTATCTATTGACTGCACTGACCCCCAAAAAACCCTCTGCAGGTGGTTGGTAAATCAGGGTAGAACCATGTGGTCCCTTTGGCCTGAGCCTGGCCAGGATCAAGGGTGGGGCTCCAGCTGTGCCAAAACATTGTCCAAGATTCAACTTTCTATGAGAGTTTTTGGGCTGCACGTCTAACACTGAAGACAAACTGGTGGTGGCCTCATTAGAAAAGTTACATAGTGTGTCTTCCACTGTCTCTACGGCATGACTTCATTTACTAACGATGTCTTCACGTCTTGTGCATGCTTTAAGTGTCTTTCTATTGTGTGCTTCATGTTCATGTTGTCTGTGTTGATCTGTCACTGCTGCTGCTCCTCTGCCCTCCTCCAACCAGAGAGGAGGAGGAGTATGATGAGGATGAAGAAGAGGAGGGGGAGGAGGAGGAAGACGATCCAGATTCTGAAAGTCATCCAGTCATTGAGTGCAGTAGTCAGGGTGCACACAGGTATTTTGGGTCAATCCCTGATGCTGTAGTGTTCCATTCTAGTCTCCCATTCTCTCATTGTCATTTATTTAAGGTTTCCTTTCACACAGAGCCGTCCCTTGTCAATCATTAACTTAACAGTTTACATCATTAATGTTGAGGACACTGAAGCAGACTGAGCAACTAACAACAATAATTGACTATTTTGATACTTGACTGGATCAAATGATACAATACAAAGGCAGAGGACTTGAGATTGTAGACAATATTAAAGAAATATTAGTAGTTTGCCTTTAGCAACTCTTCCTAGTCTAGAGGTAATACATAACCTACAGGATTCCAAGAAATAAAAAGTAAAAACCATAGTCAGGCTTGTGGGGATGCAAGCCCACTCGCATTCATAGTCATTGCTATGAAAAGCATACTTATTTAGTGATTTGTCACATGGTGGGGCTTTCACTTAAGATAGGTTTGTTTGTCCAATTATTATATTAGCACATTGGACATCATCTTGTCAAATGTTCTTGATGGACGTTGTGGAAACCTGTAAATAAATGTGACGTTCCCTTGATTGGAGCCAGTGGAGTCAGTCAGGCCTTGTCTCTGTATCTGTCCTCCAGTGCGGCTGCAGCTAGCATGTGTCTGGGCTTTAACTGTTTGGCTCAGCCCCCTCCAGGACCGAGTGTTCCTGAGGTCCAGAGCTCCACTCCTGTGAGCACCGCCCCATCACAGAGGGACTATAATCTGTGGTGTGTGCCTACAACAATCACTTCTCCATCCACCAGGGCCCAGATCCAAAACGTCCACTTCTATTGCTTATTTGGATTTTGATTGAATTCTAAACAGCCCAGGAGTTTTTAGCTTTGCACACTTCCTAAATATACTCCCTTAAGCGTGTCCTGGGTCTTCCCCCAGGGTCTCTGCTAGTATACCTCTCCAGGACTCCTTAGCTGCTCTACTTCAAGCTCCTTCTGTGTGACTGAGCTCCTCACCCTATCACCAGCAGCCACTCGCAATAAACTAATGTTGACCGCTTGTATCCATTGCCAAAAGCACCTTCCCTCATCCATGCACAAGTCCCCTCCAAAGAACCTTTCTACCACCTGGAGTTGGTGCAATATATTTATCTGGTCTAGAACCATGGCCTCGGATTTGCAGATGCTGATTCTCATCCCAGCTGCTTCACACTTGGCTGCAAACCGTCCCAGTGCATTTTGAAGGACCTGGTTTGTTGAAAGCCAACAAGACAACATAGTCTGCAAACATCCACCTATTTTCTTCTTCTATTCATTTCTGGGTCGGGGCTGCCAGTCAGAGCTATACCCAGTCCACAGAGCACCAGCCCCTCACTGATCCTCCTGCAGGTGGTGAGTCCACTGGAAGATGGCTGTCAGTGACAGTATAGCCTTAACTTTTAGCGGGGTCTTCGAGCAAACTGGGTTTAAGTGTCTTGCCCAAGGACACAACAACAGCAGACATCAGTGGGAGTCGGTAGAGAAGGTCTTGTGGGGGGATCGAACCCACCACCTTCAGGCTCAAAGGCCACTGCTCTACCAACTGTGCCACTGTCATAAACATCATCTGCAAACAGTTGGACAAGCTGGACTCCCTCTGGCCCCTGGCTGTGCTGAGAATTATGTCCATAAAAGTAATGAACAAAACTGGTGACAAAAGGCAGCCCTGGGGGACACCAATATGCCCTGGAAAAGACAAACATGCAATGCAAACACAGCTCCAGTCATACAAGACAGCCTTAAGCAAAGAACCCCAGACCCCATACTCCCAGAATCAGAATCAGAATCAGAATCAGAATCATTTTTATTGCCAACGTAAGTAACGGGAGGTCACAGACTTGGAAATTGCTTTGGCTCAGTGCAACAGTCGAAAAGAGATAATAAAAATAAGAATAAAAAACACTTCTAAAGAATAAATTTAAATTTAAAATAGAGTTACAGTTACTATTTACAATATACAAGTGCACATGGTGCACACAATGTAAGGTGACAGCAGTACAGTGAAGTAAAGTGACGTATGATGGGCAGTAAAGTGACTTTATAAAGGGCGGGGGGACAGGTTAAGAAGTGTTCAAGAGTCCAACAGCAGAGGGGAAGAAACTGTTCTTGTGGCGGGAGGTTCTAGTCCTGATGGACCGCAGCCTCCTGCCTGAGGGGAGTGGTTGGAATAGTCCATGTGCAGGGTGAGAGGGGTCGGCTGTGATACGACCAGCCCGGCCTCGAGCTCGGGCGACGTACAGGTCCTGCAGCGATGGAAGGCTGCGGCCGATCACTTCCTCTGCAGAGCGCACAATGCGCTGTAGTCTCTGTTTGTCCCTGACTGTGGCTCCAGCGAACCACACGGTGATGGAGGAGGTGAGGATGGACTCGATGATGGCCGTGTAGAACTGCACCAACATCTGTGCAGGCAGCTTGGCTTTCCTGAGCTGCCGCAGGAAGTACATCCTCTGCTGGGCCTTCTTGATGAGGGAGCTGATGGTCGGCTCCCACTTGAGGTCCTGGGTGATGGTGGTGCCCAGGAAACGGAAGGACTCCACAGAGGTGATGGGGGAGTCCATCACGGAGGGTGGGGGCGGGGGGACAGTGCTCTTCCTGAAGTCCACAATCATCTCCACTGTCTTCTGGGCGTTCAGCTCCAGGTTGTTACCACTGCACCAGGACACCAGCCGGTCCACCTCCCTCCTGTAGGCGGACTCATCGTTGTTGGAGATGAGTCCAATGAGGGTGGTGTCGTCCGCGAACTTGATCAGCTTCACGGAGTCGTGGCTGGAGGTGCAGTGGTTGGTGTACAGGGAGAAGAGCAGGGGAGAAAGAACACAGCCCTGTGGGGCTCCTGTATTTATAATCCGAGAGTCCGAGACATTCTTCCCCAGACGCACTCGCTGCTTCCTGTCCGTCAGGAAGTCAGTGATCCACCTGCAGGTGGAATCGGGCACGTTGAGCTGGGAGAGCTTGTCCTGGAGCAGGGATGGCAGGATTGTGTTGAAGGCAGAGCTGAAGTCCACGAACAGGACCCTGGCGTAGGTCCCCGGGGAGTCCAGGTGCTGTAGGATGTGGTGGAGGGCCAGGTTAATGGCGTCGTCTACAGATCTGTTGGCTCTGTAGGCGAACTGCAGGGGGTCCAGGAGGGGGGAGGTGAGGGACTTGAGATGGGAGAGAACCAGGCGTTCAAATGACTTCATGACGACAGACGTAAGTGCTACATGTCTGTAGTCATTGAGTCCTGTGATCCTGGGCTTCTTCGGGACGGGGACAATGATGGAGGATTTGAAGCAGGCCGGGACATGGCAGGACTGCAGAGAGGAGTTGAAAATGTCCGTGAACACAGGAGTAAGCTCACTGGCGCAGTGTCTCAGAGTGGCCGGAGACACGTGGTCCGGGCCAGGAGCTTTGCGGGGGTGCAGCCTCAGGAAGAGTTGTTTAATCTCTTTAGCGGCTATTGTTAGGCTGGGGGCAGGGCTGATGGGTGGGTCGTTAGAGTAGTGGGGGGTGGGGGAGGGAGAGGTGTCAGGGGCAGCATCAAAGCGACTGAAAAATAAGTTCAGATCGTCAGCTAGCTTGTGGTCATCAGCACAGGGGGGGGCTTTGGGTTTGTAGTTGGTGATCTCCCGTAGGCCCCTCCAGACAGAAGCAGTATCGTTGTTATAAGAATACACTGCAAAGCTCACCCCAGGAAACATTGGTGGAATGTCTTCACCAAATCCATTTGAAGCCAAAATGAATTCACCGCAATCTTCAGAATTCAAAAGACTCCAAATAAAACGGCAAAAGTAAGTTTTGGATCTTTGTCTCTGTCTACATCTTTGCTTTTCGCTGTACTGCACAAAGCTTCGCACACCATCATGTTAGCATTAAATTGGTTTTTAAATTGTGTAAACATAAAACACAAACTAAACTGAATTATTTAGATTGTCGTTTTGACTAACGTTGACTAACTCATCACACTCTTCTCTGTGGGACGTTGGGTCTGTTCTTCTAACTCTGCTTCTCGTCTTCAGTGTGGCAGAAACATCGCATGCAAACGACTTTAACACCACATCTCTAACATCTAGAAAGCCCTGCTGGGTCGAAAGGTAAGGGCAGGCACCAAAAACACGAGCGATGTTTCGGGTTAAGATCTATTAATTTTTTTATCAAATGAAAATGAGATGGTCTTTTGTTATGAGCCTAAACGTGACAACATTGCCTACAATAATCTCTAATGTGTCATCTCTGGACATATTGTCACAGTTGTAAAAGCGATAAGGCCGTTTAAGTTTTGACTTCAGCCTGAAGTCTTTTCCATCAGGCATTATTTAGCACAAAAATTCTTAATATACACAATTTAGTTCTTATTTTTTCTTATTGTAAAATGTATAAGATCTTTGAAACATGTGGCCTAAGATGTAATGTTCATTATGATTGAAGAAAGTACTGCATAGACAAATTTGTATTGACTAATTGGGAGAAAAAAAGTATGCAGCATGAATATACTTCTGATTCAAATTTTTCAATATGTAAAGACAAAAAAAGGAAATTCTGAAGGATATCTCTAAAAGGCAGTGATTGATATTCTATTCATTTAACATTTTAATTATTTTTTTTTGCTTTAAAAGTTCTCATAGTTTATTCATCCTAATTCTGAAATATTCTGAACCTTATCTTTATCCTTAAAATATATCTGCAGCTCGGTGATATTAAAGATTATACATTTTAGTGACCTTTCTCGTCCCGCATTGGAATCCCTGTAGAGAAATTCCTTCCTTCTGATTTCACTGACGTATGGAAGCAGCTGTTTTTTGTTTTGTATTTATCTTCATTGGGTCTGATCGGCTGAAGCTGAAATGTACTTTGGTCTTTTTGAAGGATACACAGCAGCAAGCAGCAGCCTCCCCCATCCCCGGTGCACCGCCTCTCCTCTGCCGCTGACTCCAGAGCTGACAGGTCGGCATGCGTTTTAGAACTATTACATACCACACATACTTTATAGGTCTAAATTAAACTACAGCGGCCTCTGTCTCTCCTATGTCCACACGTAAATCAAACACGAGCCTCTTACTTGCGGCTACTTACGCTGTCACTTGTGTGGCTGTGTGTTTGGCGTGCAGGGCGGCGGGAGGGCTGCTGTCCTCGTCGTACAGGCAGCACCAGGAGGCTCTGGCCACGGAGCGAGAGAAGAAACGTCAGGAGAGAGAGGAGCGTCTGCTGAAGGTCGAGAGGGATGAGAGGAGTCGCTGCAAGTGAGTTTGGTCTTAGGGGACGAGTGTTACTTCCATACTCATGAATAGGAGATTTTTTTAAATTATATACAGCATACATTTTTGTTTTGATAATATTTTAAGTGTGGGCTGGTCTTTTTCCATATTTTTAGAAAGTATATTGACGTTTGACTTTAATAACAATTCATTTTTATAAATTAAATATATATTCATTAGGGCCGGGACTTTAACGCGTTAGTTACGATTAATTAACGCCACAAAAATTAGCGCGTTAAAAAAATGTACGCATTTTAATTGCATGTGTTTTGAACCTTCCTTACTGGAGGATGAGTTTCAGACGGACCAATTATACTGGCGCACCAACTCGAGCTCCGTGACGTTCTTTTTTTTTATTTATTTTTTTATGAATTTATTTCTTCAAAAGTGCAGGTATACAACATGCATACAAATTGACAATCAGATAGCCAGAGGGTTAAAGCGAAATAAATAAATAAAAATAATCATATACAGTCAAATACATTGAACGCAGTACAAATGTCAATAGTCCTTACAGCTTTTTTGTTAGTTATGCCACTTATCAATTTAGCTCCGTGACTTTTCTTGTTCAAAAGTACATTATAACAAGCAAAGAGCGACTCTGGAGCTGTCCCTAATCTGAGTGAGTTTGAGACGGGAATGAGCGCGTGTATGGAGCTGTGGACTGTGTGTGTGAGGAAGAGGAGCAGCGAGTGAGCGTGAAGGAGGAGAAGCAACACAGGTGTGTGAGCTGCTATTGCTGTTGTTTTAGTTCGAATGCACACATCAAAAACTTATTATAAGCTTTAGTGCTCACTGTTAGTGCAGTGGATTTTGGTTAAAAAGCATCTGTTGTTGTCAGAGTGTGTGGAGGCGATAACAGATACATTATTTGCAGTGACGTGCGGTGAGGTTTGTGATTGGGGAGGCACTGACTTTAAAAGTTAGATTTACCATCATTATTATGATAAAGTAGCATTTAATCGCCAATGCAATGACATCCACAAACTTTTTATACTGCAAAGATAAGAAAACCAGCGTCTTTTAATAATCTCACAACAAATCTAGCTGCTGAAGCTCTGCTCCGCATCAAACAACATCTTTAAGCACAGGTGCGAGAGACGTGAGGAGAGAGAGAGAAATAGACGCGAGCAAAGAGAGAGCGAGATAGAGATGCGAGGAGAGAAAAAGAGACGGGAGGAGAGGAAGAAAGAGACGGGAGGAGAGCATGGATCTATTATAATAACGGAGGAGAGATAGAAAGAGACGGGAGGAGAGAGAGAAAGAGACGAGCAGTGTTTGAATCAGTGTTTTCGGAGAAGCAGTATCAGAACTAAGAAATTCAGGGTGAGGACGTATTATTAATAATAATACGTCTGCAGAACGAAAGTTACGAATGCACCAACATCTGTGCAGGCAGCTTGGCTTTCCTGAGCTTTCCTGCCGCAGGATGGTCGGCTCCCACTTGAGGTCCTGGGTGATGGTGGTGCCCAGGAAACGGAAGGACTCTACAGAGGTGATGGGGGAGTCCATCACGGAGGGTGGGGGCAGGGGGACAGTGCTCTTCCTGAAGTCCACAATCATCTCCACTGTCTTCTGGGCGTTCAGCTCCAGGTTGTTACCACTGCACCAGGACACCAGCCGGTCCACCTCCCTCCTGTAGGCGGACTCATCGTTGTTGGAGATGAGTCCAATGAGGGTGGTGTCATCCGCGAACTTGATCAGCTTCACGGAGTTGTGGCTGGAGTTGCAGTGGTTGGTGTACAGGGAGAAGAGCAGGGGAGAAAGAACACAGCCCTGTGGGGCTCTTGTATTTATAATCCGAGACATTCTTCCCCAGACGCACTCGCTGCTTCCTGTCCGTCAGGAAGTCAGTGATCCACCTGCAGGTGGAAACGGGCACGTTGAGCTGGGAGAGCTTGTCCTGGAGCAGGGATGGCAGGATCGTGTTGAAGGCAGAGCTGAAGTCCACGAACAGGACCCTGGCGTAGGTCCCCGGGGAGTCCAGGTGCTGTAGGATGTGGTGGAGGGCCAGGTTAATGGCGTCGTCTACAGATCTGTTGGCTCTGTAGGCGAACTGCAGGGGGTCCAGGAGGGGGGAGGTGAGGGACTTAAGATGGGAGAGAACCAGGCGTTCAAATGACTTCATGACGACAGACGTAAGTGCTACAGGTCTGTAGTCATTGAGTCCTGTGATCCTGGGCTTCTTCGGTACGGGGACAATGATGGAGGATTTGAAGCAGGCCGGGACATGGCAGGACTGCAGAGAGGTGTTGAAAATGTCAGTGAACACAGAAGTAAGCTCACTGGCGCAGTGTCTCAGAGTGGCCGGAAACACGTGGTCCGGGCCAGGAGCTTTGCAGGGGTGCAGCCTCAAGAAGAGTTGTTTGATATCTTTAGAGGCTATTGTCAGGGTGGGGGCAGGGCTGATGGGTGGGTCGTTAGAGTAGTGTATAGGGGCAGCATCAAAGCGACTGAAAAAAAGTTCAGGTCGCCAGCTAGCTTGTGGTCGTCAGGGGGGCTTAGGGCTTGCAGTTGGTGATCGTTGTTACCAAACTGCTCCTGTAGTCGTTCTGTGCCAGGACTTGGCTGCTTTCAGTTCGTCCCTGAACTGATATTTAGCTGCTTTGTAGCCGCTGCGGTCCCCCTCCCTGAAAGCAGACTCCTTTGCTTTCCTGAGCTGCCGGAGTTTAGCAGTGAACCAGGGTTTGTCGTTGTTATAGATGACCCTGGTCCTTGTTGGAATAATGCTATCCTCGCAGAAGTGAATGTATGACGTCACAGTGTCCGTGTAGTCATCCAAACTATTTGTGGCAGCTCTGAAAAGGTCCCAGTCTGTAGACTCCATGCATGCGCGCAGCTCTTCCACAGCTTCATCAGACCACACTTTGGAGCTCCTCACTGCAGGTTTCGAGAGCTTTAGTCTCTGTCTGTAAGCAGGGATCAGATGTATCATGGAGTGATCTGAGATATAAAGAATCCTCAATATATTTAGAAATAAATATATGTTTTGCATTTTTGTAGTAGGTAGATCATTTTGACTTGATCATTTTATAAGTAGCTTGCATGCTAAAAAAGTGTGAGCACCCCTGTTTTAGTTTGAATGCACACATCAAAAACGTATTATTAGCTTTTGTACTCACTTCGAGTGCAGTGGATTTTGGGCTTAAGAAGTGAATGTTGTGGACAGTGTGTGTGGAGGCGATGACTGAAACGTTATTGGATGGAAAGAAGTCCGTCTGATCCTCCACAATGAACATGTGTTGCTTAAGCTTATGTATTCAGTCATTATTCAATGGTAAACTCAGAATCAGAATCATTTTTATTGCCACCTAAGTAACAGGAAGTCACAGACTTGGAAATTGCTTTGGCTCAGTGCAACAGTCAGAAAGAGATAATAAAAAATAAAGAATAAACAACACTTCTAAAGAATAAATTTAAATTTAAACTTAAATCCATGTGAAAAAAAATTACTTCTCACTGTTCTCAGGACAAATTTTTATATGCGATTAAAATGAGATTAATTAATTATAAAGCCTCTAATTAATCAGATAATTTTTTCTAATCGAGTCCCAGCCCTAATTATATATATATATTATACATACATATATATATCATATGGGTTATTTTCTAGGCAGTTTGTGTCCAATTTGACTTTGTGAAGCTAAAGCTAACTGTACATTCATGATTTTTTTCAAAGTGATTCGATAACGTTACGACTCGTAACATTACCTACAGCCACTTACAAGTTTTCAATGGTTAGGGTTAAGGTTTTTTTGCACCGCTAACCAAAAGCTTACTGTTATTAGTGGCACGGTAGTAGCTATTGCAGTTAGACCAATGTTGCCGGTGCTGTCTCCCTAGCTTATAACCATATTGGCGTGTATTGATGCAAATATTATCAAAATTATTATTACAGATGATTTTAATCCCATGTGTGATTTTAATGTTTTACGGTGTTTAACTACTTGTGTGATTTAATTTTTTGTTTTTAATATATCTTGTGCTCTTAATCTGTCTTTTTATGTTTACTTAAATTCTAATGTTTGATGGTTTATGCATGATGTAATATGGGTTGTGAGGCGCTTTGCGTTACCTTGGCGATCTACAAATAAACGTTGATGGATTGATTGATACAGTAGTAGTAAAGTAGTAAGTAAGTAAGCTTTATTTATATACCGCCTTTCACAGACCAGAGTCACAAAGCGGTTTACAATTGTTATTTTTTGGGCACTTGTCCTCTCACTCCACACAGAGATGGGAGCGGGGTCGCCGAACAGGAGGCGCATGCCAGACCTATTGTACATATTTTTAGTGGTAGGGGAAACCGGAGTACCCGGAGGAAACCTACGCAGGCGCGGGGAGAACATGCAAACTCCACTCAGAAAGGCCCTGGTCCGGCCGGGATTCGAACCCAGGACCTTCTTGCTGAGAGGCGAGAGTGCTATCCACTCAGCCACCGTGCCGCCCAGCAGCTAAAATCAATTTTAATAAGGCATTATATTCTATTAATCCTGTGAATTAAGTAGTTCCTCCCTCCTTATCATATGATGTTGTACTTGATGAGCATACTTATTCAACTATTTATAACGGTGCATTTGTTTTAGTTGCTTAGTTAAAGTAACTAAGCAGAAATTTAATTTTTTTAATTAAATGGGCATTATGCAATGTGAGATCCAAATTAGCACAAGCATCTAATGACGCGCGTTGGGTGTGTTTTTTGATGCCTGAAGAGCGTGCGGTCTAAACGCGCCATCATAGTGATGCAGTGACTGTAGTGTGAATGTGAATGATCAGCATAGCGTCTTTACTTTTGATCATGGTTGTGTCTCCGGTTCCAAAAGAACTTCCACTCGTGCCGACACTGTGTCATTACAAGGTCAAATATGCAAAAATTGAAACTTTAAATCTTCCCCTCATAAAACATTACCAAAGAGTACATAAAACAAGAGGCGAAACTCCAGTGCAGTTTTGTCAACAGCACCATTTTGCACCGATAAACGGTTAGCA